GGGGGGGGGGGGATTTGGACAGTCAGCACAGGGAGCAACGCACAAAGGGCCAGGCAGGAGCAGAGCGCAGGCGCGGGAGGAGGTACCATGGTGAGAGGGAAGTGTGGCGAAGGGATGCGAGGCAGCAGAAAGCGAGGGGACGAGTGTGTCTGGAAGGAGAGGGGCAGTCGGGGGCCCGAGGACCTGGGGGCTTTTATGTTCCAGGTCCGGAGCGAGGGGGCGGAGGGCCTGAGTCCGGTGCGCTGCTCCTCCTCAGGGTCGCGGGGCGGCCCGTCCACAACCATGTGTCCGGGGGCTGGCAGCACTGGAGGATGGTCACCTCGCGCCCGACTGGCGGGGCTGAGTGCTCGGAAAGGCGAAGTGGGCGCGCGTAAGCAGCGGCCCCGCCTCGCCCCCCCCCGGGACGAGGACATCTCCCAGTCCCTGCCTCCCAGCCGCCGCTCACCTGCCGGCGCGGCTCACTCACTCACTCACTCACTCTCTCTCTCTCTCTCTCTCTCTCTCTCTCTCTCTCTCTCTCTGTCTGTCTCTCTTTCTCCACGGCGCGAATGAGTCTCTCCGTGTTGCCTGTGCTGACCGTGCGGCCCCCGGGGCTCCCCCCTCGCGAGCGATCCTCCCCCCTGCCGGTTCTCAGGGCCCCCCTTCCTCCTCCTCGCTCTGGCTGGCCGTCCCCCACACTCGCCGGCGACTGCGTTGGCCTTCCAGAGAGCGCCAGCACGAGCGCGCGGGGGAATCTAGATGTTTCCTGGGCGTGGAATACCATTCCACGAATCACGCGCCACAGTTGTGGGGAATATTCTGGCGATCGACCCGCGGCCCCCAGGTGCCAAGCCACGCGGCTTGTCCTTGCGCGGCCCCCGCCATGAGCCGGGCCGTGGTTCGCCCCCCCCCCCCCCGTCCCTGCTTCCCTGGCAATGCCCGGAGATGGCTATGCGAGATCCCGGGGGCCATGGGGACAGAAAGAAGCCCCTCCTCTTTTTGGGACCCGGGGCCCGGCAGGTGGAGCCCCCTTTCCGAAGGCCGTCGGGGGACTGCCCGCCGCCGCACGGAGCGGCCTGGCGGCAAGGGGGCGGAGCGAGCTTGTCGGAATGGCTGTCCGGCGTGAGTAGTCACATCTATTGGGTGTGCGTTTACCCATTGGGAATTCCTCGCCAATGAGTCAAGGGGACAGGTGCGGCGAAGGACCAATCGCTTGGGAGGGAAGGGCTGGGGGGGGGGGGGGGGGGGGGGGGGGGGGGGATGCATTCGCATATCAGCTCCTGCG